TCAAACATCGCGGGCAAGAGTACCGACCGTGTTGCGAGGAAATCGAGTAGTCCCACGAGATCTGTCGGAGCCAATGGTGATTGTGTATCACCGCGGTGCAATCCTTCGAGCGACAGACGAAGTGTTGGTCGATGCTGTCGGAGACACGAAACAACCAATCGGTGAGTGGGGCCTCGGCGGTAACCATGTTCCAGAACTCATCGGCGTTCCAGTTCGGGTCGATGGATCGAGCGACGGTCGTGACCTCCCACTGGGCGAAGGCTTGGAACACTCGCTGCTTTTGGTCGGAGTCAAGCTTGGCGAGGTCCGCGACGAAAATGTCGGTGAGTCGTAGTATTCGACTTCGTACCTCGCGTCGAATGTTCGACTTGCTGTCGCCAGGCCTTTCGCGTTCGATGTCCTCGCACATTTGCTTCCACGAAGCGGCTCGCTTCCTCGAGGTCTCGAGGTTGATCTGCTTGCGCACGGAGTTGACCTTCTGGCAAATCGTGTACCAGTCGGGGATGCTGATCGTGTCGTAGCGGGTCGAGTTCTTGCGGACGAATGTCGGCTTCCGAACCCAACGACACTTCGCGGTATCCCAGTAGTTGTCGAAGAAGACCTTGCAGTAGAATCCATGCGTTCGCTCGATCGCGATGTGCCACCCAGGCGGCTTGACTTCGTGGTTGTCGTCGCGATCGTAGAGCTGTCGACGGTCCTTGTGGTTATAGGGAAGGTCTCGAAGGTTGCCTCGTAGTCCGATCTTGGCCGGTGACAGGTCGGAGTTCTCGGCGTACCACACGAAGTCCTCGTTGGCTCCGGTTGCGCACTGGTAGCAACACCTGTAATGGATGTTGCGCCAGTCGTCCTGGCCGTCGGGGTTAACCGAGAGGAGATAGTAAGGCGGAAACAGCAGACCACAAAAGGTGCAATCGATGGATCCATCGTGGAGTTTGTCGTTGGCCGGAGTGCTGAAGTACTTGAGGTACATCTCGACTCGGTCGACATCGCGTTTGTGGTGGTCTTCGATCGATGTCCCATCGCGACCAATGAGCTCGATGGGCATGCCGTTCTCGTCGACCTCCTCGCCGGTAAGTTGTCGGCGCCAAATCGCCGCCAGCTCGGAGTCTGTCGAGTTCGGGAACTGCTTTCGTAGTGATGACATCGCGAGCTGTTCGGAGGCTCGTCTGAAAGCGATGACCTCCAAGGCTCCCTGGGTGTGATGGTCATCGTAGAGCCTTCGTTGTAATTTCAGTGCTCGGCCCTCGTCGGTGTCCGGGTGGACTCCCTCGAGGTATCGAGCGGCCGGCAAAACTGCTCCGGAGCTGCTGCCGGGCATTTGGGAAAACTGCTCGATGGGATCGAGCTGAGTCGCCGATGTCTCGGGGAACTGTTCAATCGGATCCGACTCAATCGGGGACTGGCGAGAGTGTGCCATCACTTCGGGTGGATCGGGAGGTTCGGGTAACACGAGTCGAGCTTGAGAGGTCGAAGTCTACGGAAGCCAAGCAATCTCCAAGGAGAGAGCAGGCCCCACTACAACTAGTAGAGCCTGATGCAACCGAGTAACATGTCCTACAGGCAAGCACATTTGGTCTTGTCGTCGTATGTAACGAGTCATTCGGGAGGTCGAGACCTACGGGTCAGGTGGACGCATCGCCGAGGCGGAAGTCCCCTTCTACCGAAACGGTCACTGACCCGGAAACACCCGTACATCGCCGAGGCGGAAACGGGGCGACCGTGAGACCTAAAGGTCGGGTAGGCCTCGTGTAAAGGCTCACGCATTCTCGCGGAATCGCAGGATGAAAGCCGGCGGCTCCGCGGCTATCATCGATCGCATTCGCTCGTGTTGGGCGAAGGCACTTCGCATCGCCGGTGAGAGCATATTCGAAGTGCAGGAAAGGATCGCCGAGGCCTGCTCCCGAAAGAAGGTCTGCATGGGCTCGAAGTATGGCATCTGCGCCGCGAAGGTGTTGAGATTCCTCGCCGTGTGGCACCAAATTCGGAGTCGGTTCATCCGATCTTCCACCGAGGTATGGTTCAGGTCGGAGAGAGAGGCGGTGATGCTGTGCCACACCATCGAGTAGATCAAGGTAGTCCGGGGTTCCACGAAGTTATTCGGGACACCCAGGAGCAACACCCGTTCCTGCAGTACATCGTCTTGCGGGGTGTGGATCGGGAGGTCGATGTAAAGGCCGTATTGGGTGAGGTAGCTCCCGAAAGTAGGGCATCGGAGTACCTGTTCGATGTAGATGATGCCATCGTACGTGATCTCCCATGGAGTGTCGAAGGCGAAGGAGGAGTAGGGGTGATTGCCAGGTGGCAACATCGCGACATTGTGGCCACCCACCGGCGTCATCGCTTGCAAATTCGCCGACATCATCGGGAAGTTGTCGAAGTGGCGCAGTGTTTGAAAGCCAAACACTGGCTCGTGTGATGACGGTGCGTTGGATCGGACATCGTCGATCGAAGTGCGCCCCTTCTCCACCACCTGCGAGTCGCGCCACTGCACTCGGAATCTCTCGAGGCATGACTGTCGTGGTGGTTGTGGCTGAACCGCGACCGGCACACTCGTGTAAGGATTCCCCAAGGAGGTCGCGATAGTCGAGGAAGAGGCCGCCCCCGACTCGTTGGTATCTGGCCGTAAGACTTGCCTCGGGTCATTTCGTGTCAAGTCCACAGCAGGGTGGACGGAGAATCTCGGAGGCACGACTCTTCCAAGCCCCGCGGAGCTGTCGGCGTCGGGGTGTGGTCGTTTGGGCATGGCCTTGGTCTTAGCGCTCACGAGAGTCGTAGTAGCGGCAGCCCCAAAGGATGGGTTGATCCACTCGGATTCACTCGCGGAATTGGCCACCGGCCCAGAGCTCCTTGGGTCCATCGATGTCGCAGAGTTGGCTGTAGTAACCACGATCGGAGGAGTCGGTGGTGGTGTCGCGGAATCATCGTCCTCGTGCCAAGGATCTGGCGACCTCGGCCTCGTCTGAGGTGTCGTGGTAGTCGGTGGGGCCGCCGGAGTCGTGGCTGGTGTCGAAGCGGCGATCTCATCCGGGATTTCGACGATCACCGGGGTCTTAGAGTCGAGCCATCTCTTCGCCGGCGACGGGGATCTCTTCGGGAATCTCGCCGGAGAAAGTGGTCGTTGTGATCCCCTGGCTGCTCCATCGCCGTGGCGGAAAGCAGTTCGGGGTTCACGGCCGAAGCTGGGTGCATCGGAGTCCGTATCCGTGCTGACCTGGAAGAAAGTTCTCCTTGGTGTCGGCGGAGTCGGCGTAGTCGAAGGTGCCGCAGATGGGAAAGCTGCCGGAGGTGCTGTCGATGGCGCTGCTGTAGAGGGGGCTGACGAGGGAGCCGCTGAAGGAGGCCATCGGGGTCTCGAAGTCGGGAAAATCGCTCCCCGTGTCGGAGTGGGGTGTTGTCCCCAGGTCGCCGGAGGTCTCGAGTCCTCGCGAACTCTACGGGGAGATCGTCCTCGACGATGCAGGCCATCCGCGATTTCTTGTCGTAGTTGGTGGGCAACATCAGATTTATCCCACGATTCGTAGTCGTAGTACCGAAGGAAGTTTGTGCCAAAGTTGAACTTGCGCATCTCGGCGGAACGGAAAGTGGTCATCGAGTCCATGATCCACTCACGAGCCTGTGCTCGGTTGACCTGCTCGATGATTCCGTTCTTCGACGAGTAATGGTAAGGTGGTTCACCTCGACGATTCTGTCGCTGTACTACGAAAGCCTGTCGCATAGCTTCGTCGAACGTGTGGCCATGTTGATTCCAGCACGTATTGTGGTACTCGCAGCATCCCTGGAACCATTTGTGGCATATGAGGTTGGGCACTACCCACTGTTTGTTGAGGAAATCGGGGTGAAGAAAACCACAATTGGCCATGTTACAGTTCTTCTTCTCGAGAAGGCGGGGACAAAGCTGTCGTCGTATCTCGGAGATGGGTACTTGGGCCGTGTCGCTGACTACTTCGGGGTACTCGTTAAGCATCGACTCAGGAACAGGGGCCGTCATCTTCACCAACGTGCCCTCGCAGAGAAAATCGAACCATGAGTCGGCTCGGGTACGTGCCATGGCTACGAATTGGCTAATCCAAATCGATGGTAATCGAGGTAGTGGGCTTGAGATGCCCTTCGAAGTTCCGCTTTCGAGCTTTAGAGGCAGCGGGTTCGGGAGTATGTAATTCCATGCCAAAATCATCACGAAAAATGTCTGCCAAATGCTGATTATGCAGATCGGTCTCATGCACAAGAAGAGCAGCGTCGGTGTCAGCTGGTAGGGGTGCATGATCGGAGTCGGGGTGTAGGGAAGCCTCGACGATCTCGAACGGCACCGTCAGCGGCTCCGCGGACTCGTCGCGGTTGGTGATGTGCAGGTACAGGAAGGCCTCGAGGTTGGGCGGTTTCAACAAAGTCGCCGCAAGATTGACAATGTCGTTCGCCGTCTGACACTGGGCGATGTGATCGAGTGCCTTTCGTATTTGTCGGGATTGTCGCTTGTTCCAAGCTCCCCACGTCACATCCTCGGGTTTCTCGACTTGAAAATCTTCGAGAACTTGTTCGCGGCTGAATTCCTCGAGCGATTCCTTCAGACTGTCAACAACTGACAGAGAAGCCGTAGTGCTCGAGGTACTGGCCGCCAGCAGCGGTAGTAGTAGTGCTCGGGGTACTGGCCGCCCGGGCGGCTATGACCGAGGAGTGATCCGAGGGGACTGAAACAAAATTCCGCTCAAGCTGTAACAGCTTTCGCCAAAATGGCCACGGAGTATACAATCATTCGACATGAATCGGTGAGTCAATCCCCTGACCGATTCGGTGTTTAAGTGAGATATGAAGTTGTCACTTCGCACAAACAAGTGTGTGCTACACGACAATTGGACTTGGTTAGTGTGACGAGCTGCATTTCCCCTCTAAGCTGGGCTGCAGTGCTAGGTGAGACGGCTATCTCGCTAATTGGAACAAGCTGCAACAGTCAAAGTCTGACCCTGACCCACACCAAGGTTTTCAAAACCTGAACTCCCCGAACCCTAAGCCCAGAAAAACAAAGAGCACGGACCACACCTCAAACCCTCGAATGTCACGAGTGCCAACTCTCGCAAGAACATCAGTCCTCCCAAAGCACATGCCGTCCAAGACGCGCCCTTTGCTCCAGCGGCACACGGCACCACCATGCCCTGCCTACTCTGGTAGTTGTACTGCAGGCCCGCGTTCAACATCTTCAGCCGGTGGATCTGCCCTCGCTCAGACAGCGCATGGGGTGCGTCCACACCGGGTTCCCACCCGGCGAGCTGCTTGAAGACGTGGATCGTGGAGATGGTCTGGTCGAAGTCAAAGTACACGTGCTTCAAGCCGCCCTGAGCTGTCTGCGTGCCCTGTGCTGCCGGTGTTGCCGGTGTTGCCGTCGGTGCTGCGGCAGGCTTTGCAGCTGCTTCCGGTGGTGACTTCAAAACGCCACTGAAGCCCACAGGCGGTGCCGGCGGCACAGGGCCCTTCGCCAGCGATGCACCCTTGCCCCCAGCTTTGCAGATGCCGCTGAAGCCGTCTGGCGGAGGTGGCGGGGGCGCCACCTGCGGCTTTGCCACCACTTTGGCCACTGCTTTGGCCTTCACCACATCTGCAGCCATCGCACCGGCGAGGCTTCGCAGCTCGTTCATTTCGCTCCCTGTCATCCCACGCCTCTCCGCCACGAAGACGCTGCGACAGATGCCCTGAACAGATGCAATCTCCTGGGCGTCGTCCTCCACCAAGCACGCTTCCTCCGCCGCCAAGGCCTCTCGAGACATCAAGCTGCGGATGAGATTCGCCTTGGACTCACGCAGCTCGCAGTCGGAGCTGCCTTCCAGCGGCGATGGCTCCGGGTTGGCACGATCGAAGTCGGACTCGCCGTAGAATTGGCCGAGCATCCCAAAGACCTGCTCGAAATGTTGCAGCAGCCCTTCGTGCTCCAGGAGGTATCTGCAGGCCCCCACGTTGCCCTTCGTGATAATGCGCAACCGCACGCCGGACGCCTTCAAGCTGGAGAAGAAGCTGCCCAGCTGACCCACTCTTTCGGGTCCTGCTTCAACATGCAACATTCTTGTGCTGATCAACAGTCAAAGCTATGTAGCACTTTGGTAAGGAATCGGCACGGATCGGAACACCCCAAACAGAGAACACACCAGGGATCGGAAAGCCATAATCAGCCAACCAGGGTATGACTACTCCCGACGGAGCAGGTGCCGGAATCCGTTCGCTCTGCGACTCTATCAACATGACATCTCGCTTTTTGTTCAGCTGCCTTGTGAAAACAGGCGAGTAACGAGACCTGGACAGTGATCTGTGATCTCATCTCTGAGCTTGCTGCGTTGTAGGTTTTGACAGCCAATTAACTGACCAAGCAGGGCAGGGGGAGATGGACATTTCCTACAATGTGTTCTTCTTAGTCGGAGCAAGACCGGACTTACGAAATGCTTTCTTGTTCTGCTTTGACACCGGGCATCACAGGGCCTTGTGCTGTCCTCTTGTTCATGACGGTACTGCTCTCCTGTGATTTTGTCCATGTTCCGTGAGCAACTTTCAGACCCGACAACGAAGACAAGAATCAATAAGGACAAGGGCGGCTTCATGCTCCAACACCTACAAGTAGAAACTCGAGAGTGCGCGAGCCAGGCAGGGGAAGGTTAATGAAGGTTAACATCACAGCTGCAAAAGCATCAGTCCTCCCAAAGCACATGCCGTCCACGATGAGCCCTTTGCCCCAGCGGCACACGGCACCACCATGCCCTTGCTACTCTGGTAGTTGTACTGCAGGCCCGCGTTCAACATCTTCAGCCGGTGGATCTGCCCTCGCTCAGACAGCGCATGGGGTGCGTCCACACCGGGTTCCCACCCGGCGAGCTGCTTGAAGACGTGGATCGTGGAGATTGTCTGGTCGAAATCAAAATACACGTGCTTCAAGCCGCCCTGAGCTGTCTGCGTGCCCTGTGCTGCCGGCGTTGCCGGTGTTGCCGTCGGTGCTGCGGCAGGCTTTGCAGCTGCTTCCGGTGGTGACTTCAAAACGCCACTGAAGCCCACAGGCGGTGCCGGCGGCACAGGGCCCTTCGCCAGCGATGCACCCTTGCCCCCAGCTTTGCAGATGCCGCTGAAGCCGTCTGGCAGAGGTGGCGGGGGCGCCACCTGCGGCTTTGCCACCACTTTGGCCACTGCTTTGGCCTTCACCACATCTGCAGCCATCGCACCGGCGAGGCTTCGCAGCTCGTTCATTTCGCTCCCTGTCATCCCACGCCTCTCCGCCACAAAGACGCTGCGGCAGATGCCCTGCACAGATGCAATCTCCTGGGCGTCGTCTTCTACCAAGCACGCTTCCTCCGCCGCCAAGGACTCTCGAGACATCAAGCTGCGGATGAGATTCGCCTTGGACTCACGCAGCTCGCAGTCGGAGCTGCCTTCCAGCGGCGATGGCTCCGGGTTGGCACGATCGAAGTCGGACTCGCCGTAGAATTGGCCGAGCATCCCAAAGACCTGCTCGAAATGCTGCAGCAGCCCTTCGTGCTGCAGGAGGCATCTGCAAGCCCCCACGTTGCCTTTCGTGATGATGCTCAACCGCACGCCGGACGCCTTCAAGCTGGAGAAGAAGCTGCCCAGCTGACCCACTCTTTCGGGTCCTGTCAGGCTAGGATTTACGGCAAACATCAGCACTTGTCACCTCCTACATGCCTGACGTGGACGATATCAATTGCCAAGGCCGGCGACATAGCTCCCATGAGCGACAATCAGAAAACATGACAACGCATTATGGGCGAGTTCTTCCTAGGCCTAGTCGAGCACAATAATCATCAAGGCTTAGCAAGCCTAGCTAGATTTACATGCCTATTGGACTTGGTAAGTGTGACGAGCTGCACTTCCCGTCTAGGCCCTACAAGACCTTCATAGACTGGGCTGCAGTACTTCGTGTGAGACGGCTATCTCGCTAATTGGAACAAGCTGCAACAGTTCAAGTCTGAGACTAACAAACGGATGGCACCTCATTCTCTGTATTCAAACCCTCGAATGTCAACTCTCGCAAGAACATCAGTCCTCCCAAAGCACATGCCGTCCACGATGAGCCCTTTGCTCCAGCGGCACACGGCACCACCATGCCCTTGCTACTCTGGTAGTTGTACTGCAGGCCCGCGTTCAACATCTTCAGCCGGTGGATCTGCCCTCGCTCAGACAGCGCATGGGGTGCGTCCACACCGGGTTCCCACCCGGCGAGCTGCTTGAAGACGTGGATCGTGGAGATGGTCTGGTCGAAATCAAAATACACGTGCTTCAAGCCGCCCTGAGCTGTCTGCGTGCCCTCTGCTGCCGGTGTTGCCGGTGTTGCCGTCGGTGCTGCGGCAGGCTTTGCAGCTGCTTCCGGTGGTGACTTCAAAATGCCACTGAAGCCCACAGGCGGTGCCGGCGGCACAGGGCCCTTCGCCAGCGATGCACCCTTGCCCCCAGCTTTGCAGATGCCGCTGAAGCCGTCTGGCGGAGGTGGCGGGGGCGCCACCTGCGGCTTTGCCACCACTTTGGCCACTGCTTTGGCCTTCACCACATCTGCAGCCATCGCACCGGCGAGGCTTCGCAGCTCGGTCATTTCGCCCTCTGTCATCCCACGCCTCTCCGCCACGAAGACGCTGCGACAGATGCCCTGAACAGATGCAATCTCATGGGCGTCGTCCTCCACCAAGCACGCTTCCTCCACCGCCAAGGCCTCTCGAGACATCAAGCTGCGGATGAGATTCGCCTTGGACTCACGCAGCTCGCAGTCGGAGCTGCCTTCCAGCGGCGATGGCTCCGGGTTGGCACGATCGAAGTCGGACTCGCCGTAGAATTGTCCGAGCATCCCAAAGACCTGCTCGAAATGCTGCAGGAGCCCTTCGTGCTGCAGGAGGTATCTGCAAGCCCCCACGTTGCCTTTCGTGATGATGCTCAACCGCACGCCGGACGCCTTCAAGCTGGAGAAGAAGCTGCCCAGCTGACCCACTCTTTCGGGTCCTGCCAGGCAAGGATTTACGGCAAACATCAGCACTTGTCACCTCCTACATGCCTGACGTGGACGATATCAATTGCCAAGGCCGGCGACATAGCTCCCATGAGCGACAATCAGAAAACATGACAACGCATTATGGGCGAGTTCTTCCTAGGCCTAGTCGAGCACAATAATCATCAAGGCTTAGCAAGCCTAGCTAGATTTACATGCCTATTGGACTTGGTCAATGTGCCGAGCTGCAACTCCAAAGCCCTAAGACCCTCATAGACGGGTAGCAGTACTTTGTGACATTGCTATCTCGCTCATGGATCAAGCTGCAATAATTCAAGCCTGACACTAACCCACGGATCACACCTCATTCTCCGTATTCAAACCCTCGAATGTCACGAGTGCCAACTCTCGCCAGAACATCAGTCCTCCCAAAGCGCATGCCGTCCACGACGAGCCCTTTGCTCCAGTGCCACACGGCACCACCATGCCCTTGCTACTCTGGTAGCTGTACTGCAGGTCCGCGTTCAACATCTTCAGCCGGTGGATCTGCCCTCGCTCAGACAGCGCATGGGGTGCGTCCACACCGGGTTCCCACCCGGCGAGCTGCTTGAAGACGTGGATCGTGGAGATGGTCTGGTCGAAATCAAAATACACGTGCTTCAAGCCGCCCTGAGCTGTCTGCGTGCCCTCTGCTGCCGGTGTTGCCGTCGGTGCTGCGGCAGGCTTTGCAGCTGCTTCCGGTGGTGACTTCAAAACGCCACTGAAGCCCACAGGCGGTGCCGGCGGCACAGGGCCCTTCGCCAGCGATGCACCCTTGCCCCCAGCTTTGCAGATGCCGCTGAAGCCGTCTGGCGGAGGTGGCGGGGGCTCCACCTGCGGCTTTGCCACCACTTTGGCCACTGCTTTGGCCTTCACCACATCTGCAGCCATCGCACCGGCGAGGCTTCGCAGCTCGTTCATTTCGCTCCCTGTCATCCCACGCCTCTCCGCCACGAAGACGCTGCGACAGATGCCCTGAACAGATGCAATCTCCTGGGCGTCGTCCTCCACCATGCACGCTTCCTCCGCCGCCAAGGACTCTCGAGACATCAAGCTGCGGATGAGATTCGCCTTGGACTCACGCAGCTCGCAGTCGGAGCTGCCTTCCAGCGGCGATGGCTCCGGGTTGGCACGATCGAAGTCGGACTCGCCGTAGAATTGTCCGAGCATCCCAAAGACCTGCTCGAAATGCTGCAGGAGCCCTTCGTGCTCCAGGAAGTATCTGCAGGCCCCCACATTGCCCTTCGTGATGATGCTCAGCCGCACGCCGGACGCCTTCAAGCTGGAGAAGAAGCTGCCCAGCTGTCCCACCCTCTCGGGTCCTGTCCAGGCAAGGAATTACGGCACTCCTCACTTCATGGATAGTTCATTTCACGAGTCGGCTGGGTGGGCGAAGCGGCTACCTAGTTGAAAATGCAATGAACTGTGTGTGCTCTGGTATGCTTGGAGTCATTCCGATGCACGATGGTGACCCTGGTGCACCCAACAACAGTCGTCACAAGGAATGACAACGGTGGCTGGCCGAGTTCATATTTTAGTCAGATCAGCATCAGGATTAGATTAGATGATTAGATGATCATCAGAGTTTAGGATGTCGGTTCTCGCGCGGAAAGTTAGCAACACTTTCCAAAGATCCGGATAGCAGAATATGTTGCAGCTCAGTCTTAAACCCTAAACCCTCGCGCCTATCGCCAGATCACTCTAGAAGATGAAAGAAGTTGCAACTCCCCTCCAAGGCATGAAGGCTAAGACCTGATCTCTGAAACTCGAAACCAGCAGCCAAAAAACAACGGACCATACATCATTCTCCCAATCACATGTGCGAAGCATGTGAGTGAGCTTGAGGCGCTCGAATGTCACGGCTGCCAACTCTTGTAAAAACATCAGTCCTCCCAAAGCGCATGCCGTCCACGACGAGCCCTTTGCTCCAGCGCCACACGGCACCACCACGCCCTTGCTACTCTGGTAGCTGTACTGCAGGTCCGCATTCAACATCTTCAGCCGGTGGATCTGCCCTCGCTCAGACAGCGCATGGGGTGCGTCCACACCGGGTTCCCACCCGGCGAGCTGCTTGAAGACGTGGATCGTGGAGATTGTCTGGTCGAAATCAAAATACACGTGCTTCAAGCCGCCCTGAGCTGTCTGCGTGCCCTCTGCTGCCGGCGTTGCCGGCGGTGCTGCGGCAGGCTTTGCAGCTGCTTCCGGTGGTGACTTCAATACGCCACTGAAGCCCACAGGCGGTGCCGGCGGCACAGGGCCCTTCGAAAGCGATGCACCCTTGCCCCCAGCTTTGCAGATGCCGCTGAAGCCGTCTGGCGGAGGTGGCGGGGGCGCCACCTGCGGCTTTGCCACCACTTTGGCCACTGCTTTGGCCTTCACCACATCTGCAGCCATCGCACCGGCGAGGCTTCGCAGCTCGTTCATTTCGCTCCCTGTCATCCCACGCCTCTCCGCCACGAAGACGCTGCGGCAGATGCCCTGAACAGATGCAATCTCCTGGGCGTCGTCCTCCACCAAGCACGCTTCCTCCGCCGCCAAGGCCTCTCGAGACATCAAGCTGCGGATGAGATTCGCCTTGGACTCACGCAGCTCGCAGTCGGAGCTGCCTTCCAGCGGTGATGGCTCCGGGTTGGCACGATCGAAGTCGGACTCGCCGTAGAATTGGCCGAGCATCCCAAAGACCTGCTCGAAATGTTGCAGCAGCCCTTCGTGCTCCAGGAGGTATCTGCAGGCCCCCACGTTGCCCTTCGTGATAATGCTCAACCGCACGCCGGACGCCTTCAAGCTGGAGAAGAAGCTGCCCAGCTGACCCACCCTCTCGGGTCCTGTCAGGCAAAGATTTACGGCAAGCATCAGCACTTGTCACCTCCTACATGCCTGACGTGGACGAGATCAACTGCCAAGGCCGGCGACATAGCTCCCATCAACGACAGTCAGAAAACATGACAACGCATTATGGCCGAGTTCTTTCCACGCTTAGTCCAACACAAAGATCATCAAGGCTAAGCCAGATTTACATGACCACTGGACTTGGTTAGTGTGACGAGCTGCATGTCCCATCTAAGCCCTATAAGACCTTCATAGACTGGGCTGCAGTGCTAGGTGGCTATCTCGCTAATTGGAACAAGCTGCAACAGTCCAAGTCTGACCCTGACCCACACCAAGGTTTTCAAAACCTGAACTCCCCGAACCCTAAGCCCAGAAAAACAAAGAGCGAGGACCACACCTCAGCAGTCGCAAAGTCTTGCAAAAACCCCAGTCCTCCCAAAGCACACGCAGTCCAAGACGCGCCCATTCCTCCACACGGCACCACCATGCCCTTGCTACTCTGGTAGTTGTACTGCAGGTCCGCGTTCAACATCTTCAGCCGGTGGATCTGCCCTCGCTCAGACAGCGCATGGGGTGCGTTCACACCGGGTTCCCACCCGGCGAGCTGCTTGAAGACGTGGATCGTGGAGATGGTCTGGTCGAAATCAAAATACACGTGCTTCAAGCCGCCCTGAGCTGTCTGCGTGCCCTCTGCTGCCGGTGTTGCCGTCGGTGCTGCGGCAGGCTTTGCAGCTGCTTCCGGTGGTGACTTCAAAACGCCACTGAAGCCCACAGGCGGTGCCGGCGGCACAGGGCCCTTCGAAAGCGATGCACCCTTGCCCCCAGCTTTGCAGATGCCGCTGAAGCCGTCTGGCGGAGGTGGCGGGGGCGCCACCTGCGGCACTTTGGCCACTGCTTTGGCCTTGGCGCCATCTGCAGCCATCGAACCGGCAAACCTTCGCAGCTCGGTCATTTCGCTCTCTGTCATCCCACGCCTCTTCGCCACGAAGACGCTGCGGCAGATGCCCTGCACAGATGCAATCTCCTGGGCGTCGTCCTCCACCAAGCACGCTTCCTCCACCGCCAAGGACTCTCGAGACATCAAGCTGCGGATGAGATTCGCCTTGGACTCACGCAGCTCGCAGTCGGAGCTGCCTTCCAGCGGCGATGGCTCCGGGTTGGCACGATCGAAGTCGGACTCGCCGTAGAATTGGCCGAGCATCCCAAAGACCTGCTCGAAATGTTGCAGCAGCCCTTCGTGCTCCAGGAGGTATCTGCAGGCCCCCACGTTGCCCTTCGTGATGATGCTCAACCGCACGCCGCACGCCTTCAAGCTTGAGAAGAAGCTGCCCAGCTGACCCACCCTGTCGGGTCCTGTCAGGCAAGGATTTACGGCAAGCATCAGCACTTGTCACCTCCTACATGCCTGACGTGGACGAGATCAATTGCCAAGGCCGGCGACATAGCTCCCATCAACCAAAGTCAGAAAACATGACAACGCATTATGGCCGAGTTCTTTCCAGACTTAGTCCAACACAAGAATCATCAAGGCTTAGCAAGGCTAGCTAGATTTACATGACTATTGGACTTGGTTAGTGTGACAAGCTGGGCTGCAGTGCTAGGTGAGACGGCTATCTCGCTAATTGGAACAAGCTGCAATAGTTCAAGTCTGACCCTGACCCACACCAAGTTTTTCAAAACCTGAACTCCCCGAACTCTAAGCCCAGAAAAACAAAGAGCACGGACCACACCTCAAACCCTCGAATGTCACGAGTGCCAATCTCGCAAGAACATCAGTCCTCCCAAAGCACATGCCGTCCACGATGAGCCCTTTGCTCCAGCGCCACACGGCACCACCAGCCCCATGCTACTGTGGTAGCTGTACTGCAGGTCCGCGTTCAACATCTTCAGCCGGTGGATCTGCCCTCGCTCAGACAGCGCATGGGGTGCGTCCACACCGGGTTCCCACCCGGCGAGCTGCTTGAAGACGTGGATCGTGGAGATGGTCTGGTCGAAATCAAAATACACGTGCTTCAAGCCGCCCTGAGCTGTCTGCGTGCCCTGTGCTGCCGGTGTTGCCGGTGTTGCCGTCGGTGCTGCGGCAGGCTTTGCAGCTGCTTCCGGTGGTGACTTCAAAACGCCACTGAAGCCCACAGGCGGTGCCGGCGGCACAGGGCCCTTCGAAAGCGATGCACCCTTGCCCCCAGCTTTGCAGATGCCGCTGAAGCCGTCTGGCGGAGGTGGCGGGGGCGCCACCTGCGGCTTTGCCACCACTTTGGCCACTGCTTTGGCCTTCACCACATCTGCAGCCATCGCACCGGCGAGGCTTCGCAGCTCGTTCATTTCGCTCCCTGTCATCCCACGCCTCTCCGCCACGAAGACGCTGCGACAGATGCCCTGCACAGATGCAATCTCCTGGGCGTCGTCCTCCACCAAGCATGCTTCCTCCACCGCCAAGGACTCTCGAGACATCAAGCTGCGGATGAGATTCGCCTTGGACTCACGCAGCTCGCAGTCGGAGCTGCCTTCCAGCGGCGATGGCTCCGGGTTGGCACGATCGAAGTCGGACTCGCCGTAGAATTGGCCGAGCATCCCAAAGACCTGCTCGAAATGTTGTAGCAGCCCTTCGTGCTCCAGGAGGTATCTGCAGGCCCCCACGTTGCCCTTCGTGATGATGCTCAACCGCACGCCGGACGCCTTCAAGCTGGAGAAGAAGCTGCCCAGCTGACCCACCCTCTCGGGTCCTGTCAGGCAAGGATTTACGGCAAGCATCAGCACTTGTCACCTCCTACATGCCTGACGTGGACGAGATCAATTGCCAAGGCCGGCGACATAGCTCCCATCAACCAAAGTCAGAAAACATGACAACGCATTATGGCCGAGTTCTTTCCAGACTTAGTCCAACACAAGAATCATCAAGGCTTAGCAAGGCTAGCTAGATTTACTTGACTATTGGACTTGGTTAGTGTGACAAGCTGGGCTGCAGTGCTAGGTGAGACGGCTATCTCGCTAATTGGAACAAGCTGCAATAGTCCAAGTCTGACCCTGACCCACACCAAGTTTTTCAAAACCTGAACTCCCCGAACCCTAAGCCCAGAAAAACAAAGAGCACGGACCACACCTCAAACCCTCGAATGTCACGAGTGCCAACTCTCGCAAGAACATCAGTCCTCCCAAAGCACATGCCGTCCACGATGAGCCCTTTGCTCCAGCAGCACACGGCACCACCATGCCCTTGCTACTCTGGTAGTTGTACTGCAGGCCCGCGTTCAACATCTTCAGCCGGTGGATCTGCCCTCGCTCAGACAGCGCATGGGGTGCGTCCACACCGGGTTCCCACCCGGCGAGCTGCTTGAAGACGTGGATCGTGGAGATGGTCTGGTCGAAATCAAAGTACACGTGCTTCAAGCCGCCCTGAGCTGTCTGCGTGCCCTGTGCTGCCGGTGTTGCCGGTGTTGCCGTCGGTGCTGCGGCAGGCTTTGCAGCTGCTTCCGGTGGTGATTTCAAAACGCCACTGAAGCCCACAGGCGGTGCCGGCGGCACAGGGCCCTTCACCAGCGATGCACCCTTGCCCCCAGCTTTGCAGATGCCGCTGAAGCCGTCTGGCAGAGGTGGCGGGGGCGCCACCTGCGGCTTTGCCACCACTTTGGCCACTGCTTTGGCCTTCACCACATCTGCAGCCATCGCACCGGCGAGGCTTCGCAGCTCGGTCATTTCGCCCTCTGTCATCCCACGCCTCTCCGCCACGCAGACGCTGCGACAGATGCCCTGGACAGATGCAATCTCCTGGGCGTCGTCCTCCACCAAGCATGCTTCCTCCACCGCCAAGGACTCTCGAGACATCAAGCTGCGGATGAGATTCGCCTTGGACTCACGCAGCTCGCAGTCGGAGCTGCCTTCCAGCGGCGATGGCTCCGGGTTGGCACGATCGAAGTCGGACTCGCCGTAGAATTGTCCGAGCATCCCAAAGACCTGCTCGAAATGCTGTAGCAGCCCTTCGTGCTCCAGGAGGTATCTGCAGGCCCCCACGTTGCCCTTCGTGATGATGCTCAACCGCACGCCGGACGCCTTCAAGCTGGAGAAGAAGCTGCCCAGCTGACCCACCCTCTCGGGTCCTGTCAGGCTAGGATTTACGGCAAACATCAGCACTTGTCACCTCCTACATGCCTGACGTGGACGAGATCAATTGCCAAGGCCGGCGACATAGCTCCCATCAACCAAAGTCAGAAAACATGACAACGCATTACGGCTGAGTTCTTTCCAGACTTAGTCCAACACAAGAATCATCAAGGCTGAGCAAGGCTAGCTAGATTTACATGACTAGAATGGACTTGGTTAGTGTGACGAGCTGCATTTTCCCTCTAACCTGGGCTGCAGGCAGTGCTAGGTGAGACGGCTATCTCGCTAATTGGAACAAGCTGCAATAGTCCAAGTCTGACCCTGACCCACACCAAGTTTTTCAAAACCTGAACTCCCCGAACCCTAAGCCCAGAAAAACAAAGAGCACGGACCACACCTCAAACCCTCGAATGTCACGAGTGCCAATCTCGCAAGAACATCAGTCCTCCCAAAGCGCATGCCGTCCACGACGAGCCCTTTGCCCCAGCGCCACACGGCACCACCATGCCCTTGCTACTGTGGTAGCTGTACTGCAGGTCCGCGTTCAACATCTTCAGCCGGTGGATCTGCCCTCGCTCAGACAGCGCATGGGGTGCGTCCACACCGGGTTCCCACCCGGCGAGCTGCTTGAAGACGTGGATCGTGGAGATGGTCTGGTCGAAATCAAAATACACGTGCTTCAAGCCGCCCTGAGCTGTCTGCGTGCCCTCTGCTGCCGGTGTTGCCGTCGGTGCTGCGGCAGGCTTTGCAGCTGCTTCCGGTGGTGACTTCAAAACGCCACTGAAGCCCACAGGCGGTGCCGGCGGCACAGGGCCCTTCGCCAGCGATGCACCCTTGCCCCCAGCTTTGCAGATGCCGCTGAAGCCGTCTGGCGGAGGTGGCGGGGGCTCCACCTGCGGCTTTGCCACCACTTTGGCCACTGCTTTGGCCTTCACCACATCTGCAGCCATCGCACCGGCGAGGCTTCGCAGCTCGTTCATTTCGCTCCCTGTCATCCCACGCCTCTCCGCCACGAAGACGCTGCGACAGATGCCCTGAACAGATGCAATCTCATGGGCGTCGTCCTCCACCAAGCACGCTTCCTCCGCCGCCAAGGACTCTCGAGACATCAAGCTGCGGATGAGATTCGCCTTGGACTCACGCAGCTCGCAGTCGGAGCTGCCTTCCAGCGGCGATGGCTCCGGGTTGGCACGATCGAAGTCGGACTCGCCGTAGAATTGTCCGAGCATCCCAAAGACCTGCTCGAAATGCTGCAGGAGCCCTTCGTGCTCCAGGAGGTATCTGCAGGCCCCCACGTTGCCCTTCGTGATAATGCTCAGCCGCACCCCGGACGCCTTCAAGCTTGAGAAGAAGCTGCCCAGCTGTCCCACCCTCTCGGGTCCTGCCAGGCAAGGATTTACGGCCAGCATCAGCACTCGTCACCTCCTACATGCCTGATCTGGACGAGATCAATTGCCAAGGCCGGCGACATAGCCCCCATCAACCACAGTCAGAAAACATGACATCGCATTATGGGCGAGTTCTTCCTAGGCCTAGTCGGGCACAAATAATCATCAAGGCTTAGCAAGCCTAGCTAGATTTACATGCCTATTGGACTTGGTCAATGTGCCGAGCTGCAACTCCAAAGCCCTAAGACCCTCATAGACGGGCAGCAGTACTTTGTGACATTGCTATCTCGCTCATGGATCAAGCTGCAATAATTCAAGCCTGACACTAACCCACGGATCACACCTCATTCTCCGTATTCAAACCCTCGAATGTCACGAGTGCCAACTCTCGCAAGAACATCAGTCCTCCCAAAGCGCATGCCGTCCACGACGAGCCCTTTGCCCCAGCGCCACACGGCACCACCATGCCCTTGCTACTCTGGTAGCTGTACTGCAGGTCCGCGTTCAACATCTTCAGCCGGTGGATCTGCCCTCGCTCAGACAGCGCATGGGGTGCGTCCACACCGGGTTCCCACCCGGCGAGCTGCTTGAAGACGTGGATCGTGGAGATGGTCTGGTCGAAATCAAAATACACGTGCTTCAAGCCGCCCTGAGCTGTCTGCGTGCCCTCTGCTGCCGGTGTTGCCGTCGGTGCTGCGGCAGGCTTTGCAGCTGCTTCCGGTGGTGACTTCAAAACGCCACTGAAGCCCACAGGCGGTGCCGGCGGCACAGGGCCCTTCGAAAGCGATGCACCCTTGCCCCCAGCTTTGCAGATGCCGCTGAAGCCGTCTGGCGGAGGTGGCGGGGGCGCCACCTGCGGCTTTGCCACCACTTTGGCCACTGCTTTGGCCTTCACCACATCTGCAGCCATCGCACCGGCGAGGCTTCGCAGCTCGTTCATTTCGCTCCCTGTCATCCCACGCCTCTCCGCCACAAAGACGCTGCGGCAGATGCCCTGCACAGATGCAATCTCCTGGGCGTCGTCCTCCACCAAGCACGCTTCCTCCGCCGCCAAGGCCTCTCGAGACATCAAGCTGCGGATGAGATTCGCCTTGGACTCACGCAGCTCGCAGTCGGAGCTGCCTTCCAGCGGCGATGGCTCCGGGTTGGCACGATCGAAGTCGGACTCGCCGTAGAATTGTCCGAGCATCCCAAAGACCTGCTCGAAATGCTGCAGGAGCCCTTCGTGCTCCAGGAGGTATCTGCAGGCCCCCACGTTGCCCTTCGTGATGATGCTCAGCCGCACCCCGGACGCCTTCAAGCTTGAGAAGAAGCTGCCCAGCTGTCCCACCCTCTCGGGTCCTGCCAGGCAAGGATTTACGGCCAGCATCAGCACTCGTCACCTCCTACATGCCTGATCTGGACGAGATCAATTGCCAAGGCCGGCGACATAGCCCCCATCAACGACAGTCAGAAATCATGACATCGCATTTTGGGCGAGTTCTTCCTAGGCCTAGTCGAGCACAATAATTATCAAGGCTTAGAAAGCCTAGCTAGATTTACATGCCTATTGGACTTGGTCAATGTGCCGAGCTGCAACTCCAAAGCCCTAAGACCCTCATAGACGGGCAGCAGTACTTTGTGACATTGCTATCTCGCTCATGGATCAAGCTGCAATAATTCAAGCCTGACACTAACCCACGGATCACACCTCATTCTCCGTATTCAAACCCTCGAATGTCACGAGTGCCAACTCTCGCCAGAACATCAGTCCTCCCAAAGCGCATGCCGTCCACGACGAGCCCTTTGCCCCAGCGCCACACGGCACCACCATGCCCTTGCTACTCTGGTAGCTGTACTGCAGGTCCGCGTTCAACATCTGCAGCCGGTGGATCTGCCCTCGCTCAGACAGCGCATGGGGTGCGTTCACACCGGGTTCCCACCCGGCGAGCTGCTTGAAGACGTGGATCGTGGAGATGGTCTGGTCGAAATCAAAATACACGTGCTTCAAGCCGCCCTGAGCTGTCTGCGTGCCCTCTGCTGCCGGCGTTGCCGGCGTTGCCGTCGGTGCTGCGGCAGGCTTTGCAGCTGCTTCCGGTGGTGACTTCAATACGCCACTGAAGCCTGCAGGCGGTGGCGGGGGCGGCGCTGGGCCTGACTTGGCATTGAAGCTTGAAGCTACAGGCGAAGAAATGGCCACCGTCGCTTGCCTCGGAGGGGCCACAAGGCCGGGTGCAGGTGGAGGCGGAGGCTCAGGATGCTCGGGGCCCTCGGACATCTCTCCACTTTTGCATCCATCATTGGGCCCCACCCGGCACCGGCAACGCTTGCAAGACCATGGCGTGACACCGTGTCAATGCTGCCCTTATCTCCTGTTACACTCTCTCGTCTTCTCTCGCTCTCTCTCTCTCTCTCTCTCTCTCTCTTTTTCTCTGTCTCTCGCTCTCCTTCTATCTCAAACACAAGCCTCGATGGTACTTTCCGCTGGGGTGGCTCAACGCTCTGCAAACCGAAACATCCTGCGGACAAGGACATCTCGGCAAGCTGCACACGACCGCCACCGGCTTGGACCTTAGCCGGGCTGTCCAAGAGAACTGCCTGGGCCGTCAAAATGCTAGAAGTTTCCTCAGCCCCTGCATGGTTTCCTGCCTGGTGGCCCAAGCGCTCCGCCGCCGCTTCCCAGGCAACCACCTCTCGCAGGCCTAAGCCCAAGCCCCCGAAAGTGCCAGGCGCCTCCGCCTCCCTCCCGTCTGAGGGAGCTGGTGCAAGGCCCAAAGGCGCAAGGAAGGGCGCCACCTGCAGAAATCCCCCCCCCATCTTTCACACTCTCACAAGGATCCCCTCCCACCTCGGGGCACGCGTTGCTGATTTGAGTGAGCACCTTCTTTGCGATACGATATCCAAGAACCGCATTCCATTCCCAGCTCTAATCCCCCGGCCGCAAGCAACTCGTCCCTCTCGGCGGCCAAGCTGTCAACCTAAACGAACGGAGGCTGTTCATATGCCATGTCTCAACACTGATCTCTGGAACTCTGCAAAAGAACAAACCATGTGCAAGGTTGAAGAGTTCATATCAAAATCATATTCCATCAGGTGTTTGCTACATGTTGTTAGTTCAATCACAGATGAAGTTAAACCATCTCTATAGGTGAAGATTGAATTATTTGATGGTATGAAAACCCAAAGACATGATAATAACAGCAGAACAAGAACGAGAGTTTCAGAACTGTGAAAAGCGTCTCATTTGTGGCGGCTCTTTTATACTACTAGAGATAAACACAAAGTTACGGACCGTTGTCACGTTACGGGTTGATGCCGTGGACGTACAATAAATTCAATTTAGATTGCTGCTTCGAACACCTCCAACAGCAAGAAGCGCCTCGTAAGCGAGGCGAAACACTATCTGAAACCTCAGCTCGAAGCACCAAAACTTCTGCTTTATCAACCAGCCTGCACCCATCTCCCAGGCTCCTAAGCCTCGTCGCAGGACTTGCAGCCGGACGATGAAAGTTGCATCCAGCAAAGGGCCAAAAGGGAGGTCGATCAACAGCCGCAAGCAGACGGAGGGAATCCCAAAGTCCAAGAGTCTTGAAGACAAACAGAGCACAGGCCGGATCTATCCCAGTAAGTCGTACCTGCCACTAGCGGCAGAGACCCTCTCAGAGCCATCAAACCGCACCTCACCATACACCTTCATGCTGGCTCAGATCTCAGAGACTTGCTCGGCAAACTTCGAAGGTGAAGCGCGACAAGACAGCCGATCAAATCTGCCTACTTGGTTCGTGAAGGAAGTGGAAGCAGTGTTCTTTCGATGTTTGAAGCCTCAACAGCTCTGTAGCATTCTGTAGCCATGCAGCGCTACGCCGCTACGCACCGTTGCACATCTTACTTTGAGGAGAGCACCCGAGCAGAGCGCACAAAGATGAGCAGTTCTCAGGGCTGAAGAGTCGAGCAGCGACTGTCAACAAGCTGCTTGCAACCTCGCTTGCAACCTCCGTGCTGGAGATTGGCTTCAGACCTTCAAAGGGCAGAGATTCGAAACCGTCCAAGCCTCTGCGGAGCATTATCCGCGCCGGGTTTTCACTCTATTTTCAGTCAAGAAACCCAGTCGCCGTCATTTCTGGAAGGAGGATTCTAGCAAGACTGGGACTTCCAGTTGTGACACAACATCACGAAACTAAACATTTAGCATTGCAGTGGCATTGCACAACTTCAAAGGCGGCAAAACTCTCCGTTCATGACGTCGCTTCGAACGATTTAAAATCCCAGGAATCGCTCCATGTAGCAGTTCATCACCTTCAGGGCACCCGGGGGCGGGGGGGCTTGAAACGACCTGAAGCCGAAGCCGAATGGGTGAAGCTGCATTGCTGTTGGTGACGCCGCATTGTGACGCCGCCTCGTCTGACGCCGGATTGCAGAGTGACGCCGAATTGCCCCCTGACGCCGAATTACGGCATGAAGCCGAATTACCCCCTGACGCCGAATCGTGACGCCGAATTACCCCCTGACGCCGAATTGTGAAGCCGGATTACCCCCTGACGCCGAATTGTGAAGCCGAATTGCCCCGTGACGCCGAATTGCGAAGCCGAATTACCCCCTGACGCCCAGCTGCTGGGTGAACTCCTGCAGATAAACGGAGTCCCGCACATAGCCCACGACCTGCCAACGCAGGGCCACGCCGTGGAGCTGGTCGGAGTCGCGGGTCTGGCCATGCCGCCGGTTCAGCACGTGAGTCGCGCCGTGTGGCGGGCGCTTGTGCTTGGTGGGTACAACAGGCACAACATGCGCCTTGCACTGCCCGCGGCGCCGGAAAGTTTGGAGGATAAGCGGAGGAGTTGCCGAGGTTGGCAGCTAGACCAACTGCGGGCTGCAACGCAGCAGTTCTGGCTTGGGTTGAGGACTCCGTTCTAAACAAGTTGGAGCGTTCCAAAGATTGCAAGACGGACAGAGTCCTGCCAGCCAGCATGCGTCGGGCTAGCATGTCGGTCGGAACAGGCGGCTCTGGCACTAGTCTGGCACACGGGTTCCCGCATCACGCTCGCTGCGGCCCCGCACCCCCTTCCGCAAGGCTCTAGAAACGTTCAGTCTCAACTTGCAACGGCTTCTGGCAGGCTGGCGGCGCAGCGGTCTGTGCTTGGCGCGCATTGCAGTCCCTGTGGGAGCTGCATCCACAGTCACGGATCTAGTGCGCACTTGAGCAAAGTCAGCGAATAAGCCTTGACAGGTTGCATGACTCAACGCCAACACAATGCACTCACGTAAAGGACTCGATGTCCATGCGTGCTCCCGATGCAGGGCAGGAGCACCTCTGGCAAGAAGTGCATCTACCTCCAAAAGCCTCCATTCCGAGGCAGCCTTTTCATTCTGACTGGACCGGTCGGAAAATCCAGCGTGGATGTCATCAAGGTTGGGCCATGGATGATATGGACATCATTACGCTTGGAGGTGGGGGGGCACCTCTGGGGAGGGGAAACAACCTAACCTAGCGCTAACCTAAACCCTAAGCCCAGCTTCCCGTGATTAGGGGACCATAGAGGACCTAAAAAATAGGAAAGAAAAGTAAACGCTGGGCCTTAAACCCAATTGAAGAAAGCCCATTAATTGCCATTGGGATATCGCCAGCAAAGAGAAGACATGGAGAAAACATGCATGAAGTTATGGTGGAACCGGATTGCTTCGGGGTATATGGCTCCCTGGACGTCGGACTGCTAAAACGGAGCCTCCAACAAATCTAAAAACGAGACACAAGCCACACAGGACGACCAGATGGGTCTTTGAGTCAACAACATGCCCCGTGTCTTTGTGACAGTCCTGCATCTCAAAAACTGGCTCGCAATGCCGTTTGGATGAGCACAATATTAAATAGCTGCTATAAAAATATGGTGGACGCCAAAAAGTTGATACATGCACACCCTCGATTTCTGCACTCCTGAGTCCAGTTCGTTCAGGTTCTAATTTTGGCATTGGGTACTATAGTTGGCACAATTCTGCCTCTGCATGTACCAGAGAGGTGGGGGGGAGGGGGTCAGGAGGCAGGGGGCTGGGGCCACCCAGGCGAGCAACAGTGAGCATGAGTTCAGTTTTTACGGGATTAGGGTTCCTAACTCAATGCCGCCTAGAAGAAAACTGGATAAAAAGGACCCCGTGCGCGTTCTTGTTACCCGGTGCCGCTTGCCGGGGGGTGGCCCAGGGCCTCACCAGGCCGGGCCCACCCATTTTTGTTATAAGCAGTTTTATATCGCTACGCGGCATTGAATTAAGGCAATTTTTGCTATATCTAGTTACAGCAGAGCTCCCACCCCCAGTCTGTGATATACCGACTGGGGGTCGGGAGCCCCAGGGCCAGGGGCCTAAGAGCCTGCGGCTCCCCTTCCATGGCCCTTAAAAAACAAAATGTATATAGTTATGTCTCATATAGGGTTTTGGGGAAAATGCTAGCGTGGCTTTAGAGGAACTTTCTAGGACTGACCACAACACACAGGCAAAAATCACCTGCGCCGGGACAAAACAACCCGGATTTTTCCGCACCAAGAGCATATCGGCATCATACAGCATCATCACCATTTCGTGGCCAACCCTAGAAACCAGGGGGGCAGGGGGCCGGTTGAAAGGGAGGGTTTGAGCCAACAGAAACACGCGTATGTACCGAAGCACGGCGAGGCGTAAGCGCTCGAGTGTTCGCGGGCACTCCAGGGAGTTTCAGGGTAGACTGTGCATGGGGTTGGGCACTTCAGGGAGTCTCGCGGTAGTCTCTGGCGATGGGCACTCCAGAAGTCGCTGGAGGTAGTCTCAGTGGGCGCAAGGAGCTGGCTCTAAAATCCCACACCGAGGGTGGGGAAACATCGGTAGATTTGGCCGCATAGTGTCCCACAAGCAAACACACAAGCCAAGTCGTGCCAGAAACAGCAACTTGCAGCGATAACGCAGATTCCGCGCAAATGCTTCTTTGTCTATACTGCTACTACACAATCAGCGTTGCCCGGCAGACCAACCCTCGACGGTGAAAGTTACTGGTTTGCCACTGTACACGCCTATGTACAAAACCCAAGAACGCTGGAAGGCAAGAAGTCGTTCTAACCGAGATGACATGACAAGAACCCTTTCTGCGGCGGTTCGCTCCGTAGCTAAGGCCCCTGACAAAGCAATACTTTCGTGTGTAGCTTCGGAAGCAAAGTCAGGGAGCCGATGTGATGAACACCGAAGGTGCAGTTTCTACTGGAAGCCTCGTTCGCCCTGGAAGCTGGGGTATAAAGAAATAACTGAACTTGCCGCGATGAGATAAGTTTGCTCTGCGAAACAGCCGAGCGCATGAACCCGCAAGAGCTTGAGCCGGGGGCAGCATCCGGGTTGCTGCACCAGAGATTATTTTTTTAGCACTCGCACTCGACAGGCAGGCGAGGATCTCGGTTGAGAGTCCGTAGTGTGCACATTGTCCCTGCACATTAGCCGTGATACTAGTCTCATCAAAGTTCGCAATCCATCTATCTTTACACGTTGAGCCTGCTCACATCCAGCATCATGGTCTCATGATCCGTCCGAGCAAAAACAAACACCACTCTAATCACTCCACTACAGCGCGCCCATGCAGCTTACCAGATTGCTCTCCGCAGACAAGGATTGCCGATCTCACCAGAGATTATAAATTACACCGGTTACTGTAACCTGTTCTCCGAGTTTGAAGCAAGCCTCTCAGTCCGTGGAAGCCCTAGCGGAGCACCCCTTAGGGGAGCGCCCCTTCTGGGAATCTCCAAGAGGACAGGTGGGTAAGTAGATATTCTCCACGCGGCTTGGGGATTCGCAAAGCGTGTTCGCGTCCTAATTCAACTTCGCAAAGCGTCTTCGCGTACTAATTCGGCTTCGCAAAGCGTCTTCGCGTACTAATTAGGCTTCGCAAAGCGTCTTCGCGTACTAATTCGGCTTCGCAAAGCGTCTTCGCGTACTAATTCGGCTTCGCAAAGCGGCTTCGCGTACTAATTCGGCTTCGCGTCCCAATGCGTCTTCGCCCAATGCGGCTTCGCAATGCGTCTTCGCCTCCTAATTCGGCTTCGCCTACTGGGCCCTTTAAGTAGCAATTCGGCTTCGCAAAGCGTCTTCGGCTTCAGGTCGTTTCAAGCCCCCCCCCCTCCGGGTGCAATGAATGTTTGAATGCCAAAATGACGACATGCCTCACGTGCAAATCTCACGATCTCAAACGTTGTTGACGACGAGCAAGACTCTGCATGTAGCAGGTTGCTCCGCATGGAGCTGTGTTAGTTGCTAGAGTCTGATCGCACAACGAGGGCTTCGGGAAAGAGACAGCACCCTAAGATGAAGCCCAGGAGCCTGGCAAAGGAGGGGCCGTGCAACCACGACTTAATGACGGCGACAAGTATAGGCACTGAACGCATTCGATAATCGATGTTGGTCTGTCGTCTTTGATCTTCACTGATGAACGAGGTCATCCAGCTGCTGTAATGGGAAGGTGCTCACAACAATTGAGAGCGTCTGAGTCAGCGGCACCGTCTGCATCACTTACCTCGGTTATTTAGTCTGTTTCGTTGTGAGGAAGGGGCTGTTCCAGCTTTGGTGGCACCTCCAAGGATGGCTTCTCTTTGCGGGAGTCGGCTTCGTCCAGTGCCAGAACCAGCACCTGCTCAAGGAGACTGGGAACGCCAGGCCCTGAGTCACTTCAGCCTTAAGGCTTCGCATCCGAAGACGACGGCCTGGAGCTGCTGCTCGAGCTCCTGATGACGGCTGTGCTGAGACGAGGAGCGGGGCGGCCGGGCCGCCGAGCGACGCCGCGGCCCGTCCTGGCGCTGCGCCCGCTGCTGCTGGCGCTCGCGGAGACGAGCCACCTACCGCCGGCCGACGCTCGCACTCCGCTCCGCGGCAGAAGGGCCGAGGACTGGGCCTCCACGGAGCCACGGCTCGCCTGCAGGAGATCGCACCTGGAAAGGGCGACCGGCTAGCCTTCTTCACTCTTCGTCTTCCCTTCTGGGACCAGCACCGGGCTTGCAAAGCCTCGCACTGCTTCGTAAGGGCCCCGACCTCCAACCGGATTTCTTGGCGAACTCCCCCTCCCTGCCCCGTGCCTTCCACAAGAGGAGCGTCTTGTCCTCGTCGGTGGTCAACTTCCGCAGCTCTGTGTTCTCCTCCTTGAGTTGCTGCACCTGCCATGGCCGCAGCTGCGTTTTGTCTGCTGTCTGCTGTCTCGAGCTCTGCCTCGGCCCGGAGGGATCTGAGCTCCTTGTCCTGCATCTTGATGAGGTCCTTGAAATGCTCGGCCACATCCTGCCGCGCGAGAGAGCGGACGAGAGCCCTGCCCTGAGGCGCGTCCTACCAGATATCGTGAGACCTCGGCCATGCCCGCTGCAAGCGACCCTGCGCCGCCCCCGCCGCCCTGGGCGCCTCTGAAAAAGCCGCAGCAAGCAGAGAGAGACAGAGAGAGAGACGAGAGAGAGAGAGAGAGAGAGAGGAGAGAGAAGCTGCAAGAAAGGCAAAGTCCAAGAGCCAAAGCCTCGCTCCAGCCAGATGCGGACCTCTCCGTTTAACACCGGCGGCCGCTTCGCTTTGCATTCGCTTTTTTTTTCGCTTTTTTGGGGCTTCGGCCATGGCTTCTTGGATCGCCTGGAAGCGCTTGGACACCAAAGCCGCGAAGCCTGGGCCGCCGAAGCGACTCAGCGGCTCAGCGGCTGCTGGCCCTGCTGGCTGCCACTTGAAGCCCGCGGCCGATGGGATAACGCCGCAAGGCCTTGGCCTTAGAGCTGTGGGCAGCAGAGGAGTTGCATCCGACGCACCTTTCCGTGGTGTAGGCGGCAGACGGACGAGTCGACAGTGAGACAACGCAAAAACTCCTCAATTTCGGCTCGTTCGGCTCGTGCGGTGCGCTGCTGAAACCCCCCGGTCCCAGCTCCTCTGCTGCACGCGTGAAGGAGTCAACACCTGAAGTAGGGTGCAGACCGGAGCACCGACGGAGACCGGCATGAGGCCGCCACCGACACGGGCTGCCAAGATCTCCATAAGCCGGCCCTGGCTGACGAGCGCATCCTCCTGCGCTGAATCAGACTGGCAGATTCGGGCGTGAGCGAGCGCAGCACGCACCTCGGAAGGCAGCTCCAGCAAGCAGGTTCCCAGCACCAGCGCAGTGAGACCACGGACCTGTCCGACACAGAAAGCATTCCGAGCGCAGTACTTCGCGCCCTGAGGCACCAGGCATGAGCCCCATGGCCCGGCGAGGACGAGGTCGACGTCTCCAGCAGGCCAACCAGCTCCGGCAGCTGCGCTGGGGACCGGGCCAGGACCTGCAAAGATTGTGCAGATTGCAAAGTCACCGGAGCCGTCGCTCACCCAACAATTCAACAAACAAGCCCACAACTGGATGCTACAGGTTCGCGAACACAAAGCACTCAAATTACCACAACTTCCTTGGCGTCATTGTCCCATCTCTCGCCGAGTATTCTTGGCCAGTCCCAGGCGTGCGCTCTTGTCGATAAATAGTTACCTCGCATTCGTTTCGTGCGCTTTCGCGTTCGTGGCCAGAGACCTACGGTCACAGCAGTAAGCCATCTACACCAACCGAACATGCTGCAAACTTCGGGTGCTTCAGGCTCGCAGCATTCGCGAAGCTGGACGAAGAACCGCGGACCCCGCCTCTCCTGCTGAAGCGCAGCCGTTGCACCACTCGGCCACGAGCTGCAAAAGAGCACACAGCGATGCGCTTGGGTCACCCACAACTGCCTGAAGTTGCACAGGCAGTCAACTTGAAACTTCCTTCAACGAGCCTACACAATAATTCAATGCTTTCTGTACTGATCCAAGACGGTGTCTTCGCCAAGCCTTCTACAACTGCGACGTGAAATCCTTCGTCGTTTACAGCTCGGTCAGTCCAACCCGATCTCGCCATGTCTCGCTATGCGCGGCCCGTTCGGGCCAGTGCCTGCGCGGCTTGTGATCGCCAGGCGCGAGCCAAGCCCGCCAAAGGTCCAAGGACTTCCGACAGCAAGCTGCCCTGAGCTCATGTTGACTGCAGCATGGGACCCATCGACCCATCGCATTGCAAGAACCCCAGCCTGCTCGCTTGCACAGGGCCTTTGATATGGCAGATGTGCAAATTCTTCTCTGTCTGCCTCTGTCTCTTCTGTCACCCTGTTCTGCCCCTTCCCACCAGAAAGGAAGCTCCGAAACCTGTCACGCGTGTGTTTGTTCTGCAGTATACCGTGCATCTCACTGGTCGAAAAATGGCTATGGGTCATCATCCCATGTTCTTCCTCCTCCTCCTCCTCCTCCTCCTCCTCCTCCTCCCTTTGCCTTCGCTTGTCTCCCGACATGGCCTCCCTGCGTGAACACGTTGATTTCTTGTAACCAGCTCCAAGCTGTCTGTGTCCAGGGTGAACGTCAGGCTTGGCCACACCCGCTGAGCATTGAAAGAAAGAGATAATGCGGTTCCCAGCTTGACGGAACTAACAAATTGGGGCTTATCTTAACGACTCTCGGATGGACAGAGCCTACCGGTATACCTACTGGACTTGATATGACTTGATGCTGAGCAAAGAACAGGCCTTGCTTGTGATCAAGTCAGCACATGGAGACAAAACTCGCATGTCCGTCTCTTCATTACTGTACCTCCTGCTGTTTCATCTCCCGTGAAAAGCCTCGTGCACAGGCACGCACTTCCTTTGCAGATGGCAGCTCTCTCTAGAGGTACCATAGACGCTCTGGAAACACCATGCAACTGTAATCCTTTCCAACATGTACTGCACTGCACATGTCGGAAGCCACAGCCCGGGACTCTCCTTTATTAGGGTTGGGGCATGGACCTTCATCTGTTTAAAGGCTTCGATGCTCGAACTCTAAAACGAGGCAACCCTCCGACCGATCATGTCCACATCGTTTAGACTTGTTTAGATCAGGTTCGGCTGAATCTTTATGCCTACCTGTCTTTCGAGATCGGGAGTGCTGTCATGCTTAAACCCTTTAGGATTTGCATATACCGGGTTAAACCATTAACGAGGCTAAGTGATTAGACCTAGGCATGTAGATTTACGTGCTTACAAGCATTCGTTCATGATCCACTTGTACCCTACTCTCTATTGGACTTGGGGGGGCTCTGCTGGGCTTATAAGGGGGCACCTCAAGGCTGTTTATGGATTGTCTGACAGGGTCTGGAGGTTGTTGCGGGGTGTAGACCTCCAGCAAAGGCCCCTTAAGCCTGACTTTAAACCCTGCCCTAAGCCGTCGACTCCAAGCTAACCTAAAAGCTTAAACCCTCTCTAGCCTTCCGTCCCTAAACCTTAAAAGTCTTGGCCTAGAGCCCGAAGCCTTTAGCCCTAAACCTCAAACTCCAGAGACGTGGGGCACGCAAGGAACAGTTTAAACAGCCGTTAATCCCTCATTCAACCATGTTCGCCATGGCCCCGTACAAATTCGCTTAAACATGCTCAAAGGCCCTTCTTGAGATGTGTAAACCGTGGTCTAGACCTCTTAGTGAAACGACAGTGTTTAAACAGATACACAATCATCCACAGGCTGGCCAACATGTTCGAACACCTTTTTGTTAAATCAATCTTAAGCCGTTTACACCAGCAATACGTTATCAAAATGACCTTGTCCTTCACCCCTTCACTGCAACCTGTGCCTGTTTCTCGCGACTTGTCCTACACTCCCGGCTGTCTCCTACCCTCCCACTTTGCCACTGGCCAGCCTTGGCTCTGCAAGGACTTTACGCAGGGCACCGTCGCAGAGGAGGCAACTCTCAAGCCTCGAGAGGAAGTCTTGCGAGTGATCCCCAGCTGGTGCTCAGCTTGGTCATCGGCAGGCGTGCTGCAAACCAGGTGTTGGCATCCGCCGGGCACCAGTCCTCGTGGAAAGGCCCCGGCTGCCGGGCTTTTTTTTATGGCTCTCGTCTCGGAGCCCGGCGAAGCCGCTTCCGGTTCCTCGCGCCGGCGCCTTTTCAGCGCTGCCTTTTGGGTGGTCGGCTGCACGGAGGACGGAGAGCAGCTGGGAGCCTGCGAAAAGCAGCGTGGCACAGCGTAGCACACAGCACAGCGCGAGGAGGCGAGGTCTCGTCAGCCCTTGCCTGCGGCCGTTGTGGGCCCCTGAGAGCATTCCGTAGCTTCCAGACATGGCCGGAGCAGCACCTCGATTTCTGGGCATTCTTGCATTGGCCTTGCAGTGCCTTCGGCCTTGAGCCTGGCCCTGGCTCACCTGGCGCACATCCGTGCTGCTCACCGCGGTCGTCAGGAGAACCTGCGGGCACTGGCACTGCGCTACTGCCAGCTCACCAGCCCAATGCCTCGATGGATGCACGGAGCTCCAGCGAAGTCTGGAAAAGGCGCGAAGCGAAGCGGGCGAAGAGAGAGAGCCTCCGCCTCCCCGCCTCCGGCTGCTCTGTTCCCAGCAGGACGGAGACGAGGAAGTCCAGTGCCGACCGGCGGGGAAGCGAGGACGACCCAGACATGGCCGGAGCAGCCGGAGCAGGAACCTCCGCGAGGCGGCGCCAAAGCGCGCGGACCGGAGCGATCCGCACATCCGCACAGCGCTCACGGCTCTGCCTGCGTCAGGGTGAGGCTCGCGAGCGTCTTCTCCTCTGCCGCCAGTGCAGCGGCCAACACCTCTGACTGCACTTCTCTCGGCAAGCGCAAGCCGCAAGGCAGCGAGGCAAGGGAGCTGCCTCCACGGCACGAAGCCTCAGTAGCCCCAGGCCAGGACAGGGCAAGACCTGTGGAGAAGACTCCGCAAACATCTGCAGACTGCAGCCACACTCTATGCCTCCACGCAAACCATCTCCAGCAGACCGGCGGACTGGACCTCAACGCCCAAAGCGCAGCCAGCGACAGTGACCGACCTCGCGCTCGGCCGCTCGGCGTCGCGCCATGACCTTGGAGTTCCCTGCCGCCTGCCGTCTCTGCCGTCTGCATCGGCTGCTGTGTCGCTCTGCGAGCGCCTCTGAACCGGCTTTGATGACGAACGCCGCCAGCGTGTCCTACGATCTCTGTGATGGGACATCTTGTGACAGGTAGTGTCAATCCCAGCGGTCCAGAAGCACTGTGGCAGCGGCCTTGAAACTTGGCAGCGGAAGTGCAGTCAGTAGCCGTTGGCAATCATTGGTGCTACCGGGCGCACATGAAGGCCACTGGTCCAAGCGCTGCCTTGGGCCTCGAGGATGCACAGACTCCCGCCGACTTACCAACTGCAAGCGCAAGCCTGCAGCGCCAGCGCACCGAAGACACAGCGCAAGGTCCGGAGGACCGTCGTGAGGTGCCCGGCCTCTAACACTAATGGAAAGAAGAAGCGAGAAACGGAAACCGAAGACCTTCAACCGCCTCAAACACCAACCCTGCAGCCTGAAAACCAAGCCAACGCCTGAAGCATCGGCACAAGCAAGTGTGGGCTTTTGTTGTAGAAGGTTCGGTATAATAAGGACATCTGTCAGGACGATAGAAAGACTTTGCTGGCTGCTGTGGCAGCTTGGCTCTTCCTGTTTTCGGCTACTCGACGTCCTGGTTCCGGTTCACTGTGTCTGTCACGCCTCGCGCATGTACTTCTGCGCGACCGGGCCCTGGCCGACGAGTTGCTGCACGCAAACCTTCTCAGCGCATGCAGAGACAGGGCAAAAGGCGCTGGAAGCTGGGTGCCCTCGCACAGGAGTTTCCAGCCAAGCTGAGAAGGGCTGAAGCCTCGACTTGTTGGACGCGGAGCTTGCGAGGCGAGTTCGTGCTGAGGCCTATGCTGAGTCAAGCGATCCTGATGCATGGGAACAAGAGGCAATCCGTAGCCGAAGCGGTTGCCAATGTGAGGCTCAGCCGCGCCTGATGAACTGCTGGCCACACTCAAGGCCTCAAGCTGAACCACTTCTTGTGGCTCTTGCAAAGACTACGACTCTGAGTGAGAGAGGCAGGGCCTGAGTTGCGATGGCCAGCAGGGCCTCACAGCGGAACGACGCAACTCCCGCGCGACTTGGCTTTCGCTTGGGGCATCAACTCGGTGTCTTGTGTGTGTTGCATTCATTGCCCGGTTCCCGGGCTTCACGAGTTCAGCGTAGGCTGAGTCATGAAGGTAGCACGAAAGAGACGAAGACATGGCACAAGGCGGCAAAGGCAAAGCTCAGGAGACTGTCTGCCTCCGCTCCATCCTGGAAAGTGATGATCATGCGCACGTCGCCATCTTCTGCTGTCACCAACCGCAGGAAATGCACCTCAGACGCGTTTACAATGACATCAAAACAATGTGGCCGTGTTCTTGCCAGGCCCGGACACACTCGGCACACAGTGCAGCCTCTTCCGTGACGTCGGCCCAGCTGGAGCCACTCGCTTCCTGCGATTCTTGTCACGGCTTCCATGCCCTTCATGCTACAACACGGGGGCATTCATGCCAAGCTGGATTTGCCAAGCTACCTTTATATGCATGATTACTTGCATAGCATGCAATCATGCATGGTTGCCCAACCGCATTCGGCGCGAGGCGTGCACTTGGACACCGTACACGCGTCTACGGGACTGCCTCACGCCAGCCGTTGAAAGCTCCAGTCGACTCTGCTGTGGACTCCAATAGCAAACCAAAGCTCCTCTGTCTGGAGTCAATCAACTGCCGTGAGTCACAAAAAAGCTCGTTGCTTGGTGTGGCTCCCCCAACTGTGTGAAGAAATTAGCCTGTCGATTGACAATTTGTAACTGTCACGAATGTGCGATCTTTTCAAAATACCTCAGTCGGCAATTGGAGCACAAAACAGCCAGAAATAGTGTACATTTAAGCCCTGGAGCGCCACTGGAGCATTAGTCCCGGGCCGCCGACAACAAACTGCACATGTTTGCCCTGCGGCGCCACTTGGAACATACGACACCAGCAACAAGTGGTACATCTTAGCATTGGGGCACCGGTTGAAACCAAAGGCACCGGCAACAAGTCGTACATTTTGGCGCTGGGGCATCACTTGGGGCACAGGGCAGCAGCAACCAATCCGACATCTTAGCATTGAGGCACCAGACAAGCCACCGGCAACAAACCGTACAGCTCAGACGTTGGGCGCCACTTTGAGCGAAGGACACCGGCAACCAATCGTACTTCTTAGCACGGGGGTACCAAGCGGAGCCAAACACATCGGCGGCATTCGCACGATGCTCTGATACCCTCCCTCCGCCCTGACATCAAGAAAAGCTCCTTTCGGAGCTGGCAGTCAGAAGCAATGAGGAGCTGACGGTTGGAATCATTTTGTCCGGATGGATGTCGCAGATCTTCGCGATGAGCGGTTGAGTCATTAAGCGCCCGGGAGTGGTGGGTGGGATGAAAATTTCGGCACTCTGAGGTGCTCAGCTGTCATCCAAAACAGCTTCAGCACTCACAGCCCTGATTCAATCTCATGGAACCCTCCCTCCGCCCAAGCTTTGTGCTTTCATGCCTGCCCTACACTTCGTTGCGGGTTAGGCATTCACACGATGCTCTGATACCCTCCCTCCGCCCTGACATCAAAAAAAAGCTCCTTTCGGAGCTGGCAATCAGAAGCAATCAGGAGCTGACGGTTGGAATCATTTTGTCCGGATGGATGTCGCAGATCTTCGCGATGAGCGGTTGAGTCATTAAGCGCCCCACTTTGTCCTCATTGACTCGGTCGCGCTCTCGCAGCTTCAGACAATTCCTGCACTTTTGAAAGTTTAAACCCTTATACCAGTATACTTCTTATAACCACGGTTCGAGCTTCGGATTCTTTTCTCACTCTGAGCTCCGCTGTTGGGCCGTGCTTGAGCCTAGGTTTGACCTGCGGTGAAACACTGGATTCCTGTATGTAACTGTACATGAAGGAAAATTGAACTATCTGTTATGCCCTCATCGCATACACAGCTTTGTCGTGTAATGCGATCCTTGTGAAACTTTTCCTACATCCACCACGGTTCTCGCATGCTCTGGTGAGCCTTCTTCACTTCTCACACGCTTCTTCTTTGAGCACTTTTAACCGTCTTTGGCTTCTTCTTTCTTCTTCTCGCTTTTGTGCTTGTTGTGGATGTCGTTGACTTTTAGTCCTGTAAACGGAAACTGTTAGGCTGACCATTGTTTTACAACAGTCGCGCTTGCCAACTACAAACTCAGGCGCTCTCACTATTTTTCCATCTCGCGGTACACGAGGTAGTCTGTTCGGCATAGCTCTTTTCAGAGTCTTTGCACAAGAACTTTGGCTTTGTAAGCCTTCTGTGCTGGCTCTTTCAGCCTTTGCTGGCTCTTTCAGCCTCTTCTTTAAACACGTTCGTTGTGCTTTGTCGTGTGCCCTGGGACCATTACGCAGTCCTCTTGGCTGTTGCTGTGGATTTACCACGCTTCTCACAAGCTTCTTGAGCTTTTCGTTTTGTGAAACTTCCTTCTCTTCTCACAGGCTCTTCAGCGGTGTGAGACAAAACATTACGGCCTTGTTTATACACCTGCCTTACGGTGTCTCGCTTGCCCTGGGCGGCTTTCCGCCCTCACTCAACTTTGATCTTTAAACCTTAATACCCCAAGGGCCCTTGGGTTCGCTCTTCAGTAGAATCGGGTGTCCCCGGCTGGGGCCTTCCGCCGCGGCGACGGATACTTGGTCCTTCTCGAATCTCTTCTTGATGGTCTTGCATCAAAGCTGGTGTCATCTCTGCGCTTCTTTGTTGAGAACCAGCAACGAAAGCTTCAAATGTCGTTCGTGCTTCTCCTTCTAACACTCGTTGGCCCATGACTTCAAGTGCACTTCTTCTTTGAGCGAAAGTCATTTGATTCCACTCTTCTTCAGTAACTTCTTCTGGCCTTTGAGTACTTGTAGTCGCTTGCTGGCTCCACTCTTCATTCTCCTCGGAATACCATTGACCATCCTGTTCCTCTTCGTTGTCTCCTTCATCCGTATCGTACCAAGCTCTCCAACTTGCCTCGGCATGGTCTCTGATACATTCCGTACAACTGCAGTTAACATGCCCTTGCTTGGCTCGACTGCACAAGCCTTCTCCACACCACGTACAGGGCTGTCCGCAGAGCCTTACCATGAACGTTGTCACTTCTTGGGTCCTCCTTGTTGGTCTATCTTGAGGGTGGCATTTCCAGCAGGACCTAAATCCTCTGCTTAGCGCTTCATTGATGCTCATTGCCTCTGTTTTCGGAGGCTCACTCCACCACATGCATGTTTCCTTGTGGTAAACCTTCCTCTTTGGATAGACGTAAACCGTGACTTCATTCTCGCCTTTCCTTTTCTGGCTGCACCACTTCACCATGATGTACATCAGCTTGACTGCTTGCTGAATGAGGAGACATATCCCCACCAGACTCAGCACAATCATCATAACGTCTTCCATCCTTTCTCTTGTGCTCTTTTCTTCGCTTTGATCTTCCTGGCTAAGTCCCTGCTTGCCTTCTTGGGCCGAATTGGTTGCGGTACTTCCATGTATGCACAAACTCCACGCTAAAGCGATTGACCAATTAGTGCTCACATAAGCTCCTGTAGTCTTCTTCGTATCTTTGGTCTTTCTTCCTTCAGCTTCTTCAGCTGTCTTCCCGAAGCTTTCCATAGTCTCTTCTCTTTTTCTTTCCTTCTTCTTTCCCTTTTCATTCTCATCATCCTCTTCTGACTCGCTTTCTTTTGACTCTTCATTACTCTTCATCATCAGACTCTGGATCCGACGCAGCTTCACTTTCTTCCTTCTTCTTTGGCTGCTCTTCTTCTTTCGGATTTTCTGCTTCTTCATCGGTCGTCTTGTCTCTGCGATCTTGGTTGAGCGACTCTACCACTTTCCAGATATCATCTGCGCTCGGTCTGTCTTCTCTTCTCTGCTTGAGTAACCTGTTGATGTACTCAATTGACCTGATGCTTTTGCACTTGTCGGTAATGATCACTTTCAAAGCGTCATCATCGGCCATTGCTCTGGCTTTATCCTCTTCTTTCTCTTCTTCCACGAGGATCTTCTTAAAGCTCTTGAGCAAAACGGCTTTGGAAATGCATATGTACAACAATGCTGCAACCACGCACATCACTACGCTTGCTCTTCCCAGTCCTTGTTCACCTTCTTCATCGTCTCTTCTTGCTTCAGTCAACGATAACAACACTGCTGTCGTGACCACTTGAATAATCCTTGCGATCATCTTTTCATCAAGTCTTGTAACACTTCTTGATCTTCGGACTTCAGCTTCTTCTCGGACTTCTTGAACATCTTGTGTCAAATACTCACCTGTATATCCCAGACTTAGCATGTACTTTCGTATTTTCTCTCTCGTCAAGGATTTTGTTCCTAGGTCCGACGGATTGTCCTTGCCTGCTATTGCCTTTATAACAAGCTTCGGAATTCTTTGGATCCATAAGAGGTCCACTTGTAAATGGCGTGCCTTGCCTAAGCCTTTTCTTGAAATCAACTGCCTTGAGCTTGACGAATCACTGTAGAACATCAGTCTTGGTTCTACTCCTAGGATTCTTGTCAGCAATCCTATCAGGAATACACCTTCGCTTAAGATTGATGTCGCTGCGATTGTCTCGGCTTCGCAAGATGATAATGCTACGCTCTTTTGCCTCTTGCTTTGGAAATGAACCAGGTTTCCATTCACCATTATCACTCCACACGAAACGCTTTGTCTTGACTCTCGGTCTGCTGCCCAATCACTGTCGCTTATCACTTCTATCAATGCTGGCACTTTGTAGTTGTCTCTCTCGACGTTTCCTTTGTCGCTTCTGTTCTTCACTTCCAGAAAACTCTTTCCAGGATAGCTTTCCTGGTGTACCAACGTAAGTTCAGGCGTTCCCTTCAGATACTTTCCAACGTACCTTAGCAGTTCCATGTCTGCTTCAACGGGTGATGCTAGCTTTGTCGACAGCTTCTTCAGGACATACATGATATCTGGCCTCTCAGGCGCAAGATATAGTAATATCCCTACTCCTTTTCTGTACGTGTGGTGATCTTCCGCGCTCAGCGGTTCCATTCCACCTTTCTTTGCTTGAAATGCTCTTCCATTGTCTGCTGGACACGGTAGTTTCTTCGGATATGCTCCTTCCAATTTCAACACTTCTACCAGTCCTTCCACATACTTTGAATTCATCGTGATCTCAACGTCTCCATTGTTCATAGACTTGAAACTTCTCTTCAGGAAACTCATTGATCCTTCCTTCTCGTCCAATGGTCCTTCAACTTTGATCTTCAATCCTTTGCTTCTCAGGAATTCGACCAACTTCTTGAACTCTTCTCTTGATGCATACAGTTCCATGTCATCTACGTGACTCAATACGATTACTCCGAATCCTTCTTCGTCTGGCATCCTTGAGAATAGTGCTGGGAGGCCACTGTCGCTTGTTCACCCGTACTCTTCCAGGTAACCTTTTAACTTTC